GTGTGTGTGTGTGTGTGTGTGTGTGTGTGTGTGTGTGTGTGTGTGTGCATAGCAGGAAAGTAGGTGTATGTTCGCATTGTGTACTTTTATTACTTTTCATTCTTGGCTGGCCACATGCTTTCATGATGCTTGTTTTCCTGATGGCACATTAGGAAATATGGGCATTACAAAGTAATTACATTTCCTGTGTCTGTACCCAGAATGAATCTAATATTATTAATAATGAATAGAGGATTGGGGGCCCTGTCGTGCAGCAGATGTGACGCTCTCTGCCACTGCAGAGCCATTGCCTGCCTTTGTTTTATTGACAACAGCAACCCATTAGCTGCACACCGTGGACCTATGAACAAGCTATGTGAGTTACACAGACAAGGGCCTATTTGTCAAAACACATCAGTTTTGCATGAATCATAATTTTAACAAAACATGTTATTGGCGTTAGTAAAAACTGGATTCAAGGGGAAGGGAGGATTGATATGACAAATAAATTGGTGTTAATCTGGAGTCCTTGGGATGGAGCTTAGCGCCACAGAATCTAGAACTGTCCCTATAATCATATCTGCTGGCCTCTGATTTAACAGACCGGCACAGCCAACAAAACACTTTCCCAGCGATCCAGGGATTGGCTGGGGTTTGTTGGAGACTTGGGATCGCCTCTGAACAGGCCGTTACGAAAGGGCTGCGATTCACGTCCATCTGGCAGGAAATTGATTAGCATTCAAGGGAAATGCAACTGTTTATCCTCCTCTTTAAAAAATAAAAACATCACTAGCAATGCATGGCTGCTGATAAATGGTTATGTCTCGCAATAGTAATTGGCTCCATGGATAAAGAAGATGCAAAACGCATTAAGAAATATTCAAAGCACAAAGCATCTGCGCTCTATAAAAAGGCATTAACAAGGCTGAGCCACACAGATAGCCAAGCACACATTTTCATACCACCTGCCAAAAAGCCAAACTCCAACTTTACTGGACAACTTTACTAAATGAAAGAACGAAACGATATGCTTACAGGAGGTCATAACTCTGATCATAGGACAATTTCAGCATTTATGGCACACTGGTAAACCTAATTCTTTGAGACAGTTGGTTTTCTTTCAGTCGACCTCTGTGCATGACGACAGATACGACAGATGTTTTGAAAGAGGAGTAAATGAGGCCGATACGTCAAACTGGAACAACCCTTCATGAACAGAGGAAGGGGGACTGCTGCACCTCTTACCTGCTGCTCATGATGCCGTCTCGACATTCCTTCCCGAGATGTTTCATTGCAAGTTAAACTTTAATTAATTAGAGTCAAGACTATCAGGATTACCATTTGACTTTGACAACTTCTGTGACCTCATCTAACATCAATGGGAACCCACCAAGGAGGTTCAAATGTTTAGGGACTCTCCACCATTCAGGGGAACAGCTGGAACGTCTTTAAGACGAACAGACAGAAAATCCAGATGTTGTAGTAGGCTACTTCTGGGCCACTTTTTATCCTCTGACTTTAATAGTGGACATGTAGTATCACAAGAGTAAGTATGAGTGAAAGAAAATCAAAAATATTAGTTAATGCTTATATTATCTTTCTTTAAATTACACTGAAAATGAAACTTGTGTATAAGGTGTATAATCAGAAAGATGAAATATCGCAGCAACCTTATTTGACCAAGGATAGCTGGGTGCTGTATCCCAATTAAAGATCTTTTTGGTCAGTGTCTGTAGTCACTGTACAATGCGTCTCACATTTCTGCTTTACAAGACAAGACTCCAATGCAATGTCCCCTTCATTAGCCCGCTTTGCAGTACATTTATGCAACATGAAGAAAGCACCATACGACTCAACTCTGGATAACATTACTGTCAGGGGCCTCCTTAAAGCCCCATACTCCATCTGCATGAAATAAGATTGAGCACCATTAAATCATGAAGTTTTGAAAATGTTGAATAACCAAGGTCAGATTTAGGCATAGACATAATTGCATTTTATTCATCACAGGCCATAACGCTCTTCCTGCTGACTCCAGTACTGACAATTCTTCCCTCTCCCTTTTTCATTAAAAACAAAACCAAGACATACAATCTAGTTTATTTTCAAGGTTTTCTACACGATGTTCAGAGCATTAAAGTTGCAAGATCCAAGATTGAGAGCATTTGGATGGCCTCTAATTGGCTTTCAACATGTCAAAGGCGAACCGGCGGCTACTAGCTAACAGTGCTAGTAGTACAAACTGCGGTGAAAGTGCTGACAGAGCTAACAGCATTTACCTGATATTAATAATTTAGTGGTAATAGCTATACCTGAGCAGAGAATGAAGTCGCTCTCCTTCTGTGTGTGTTGTAATGTTAGCTTCTCTGGGCTTTGTTGACGTAGCCGGATTGGCTGGCCGTATGCTTTTTTGTGTGCTCCACTGGTTGGCTCACATAGTTCTGCACTGCGCTGATACAGCAGTAACAGCTGATAGCGCCTGATCGAAGGCATCGTCGTGGAGGCGTATCGGCCACCCCCTAGTTCTCTCTCAGGTAGACACTGTTAGCGCTGTTTGCACTGTTAGCTGCGAGCCGCCGGCTCAGCCTTCATTATGTTGAGAGACATGTGGAGGTATTAGATATGCTCCGAATTTTTTATTTAGCGCCTTTAAAGGCATTGACCTTGAAAAGACATTTTCTCTGCAGCCAATACAATGTCCTCAGCATTCAACAAAGTACTAAAGTTCATGTAGTCAATCAATTTGCCTAGGTTGGCCTGCTTGTTTTCTTGGGCTAAATAATATACATATATTGTGTCATTTAAAAAAAATTGCTGTCCTGAGTTTGATAGAAATTGTTTATTTTCGCATGAATTTCATCGAAGAACCACTTAATTTAAACCATGGTAAAAGTTTTCCTTATTGGAAATTTGATTATTCATATATATTGGATTATATGCTTGCCCGTAGATTGACGGCAAACTTTTATTATTTATTAATTTAAGCTTTATTTAACCAGGTAACATCCATTGAGATAAAACCTATTTTCCCATCTGGCCAAGAAGGCAGCAAAGTTACCTTTTACATGCTCTGCTGCTGATCTTCCATGTGAACCATAGTTTAGCATTTAATTAACTGTAATTAATTAACTCAATGCTGTCTCTTTTTAAATTTTAGCCAAATCACATATAGGTGTTTTTAGGAAACCTTTACGGAATTTATAGGAAATTATCGACCCGTATACGACAATTATTTCCCCCATCAGGGATTGAGGGGCACATTTTCCTCTCTTGGTAACAGGCGTGGTTGCAATCAATACGAGAGGCCTGTTTTGGATTCGTCAAGGGTTTTCTCATCTCGGGCCACAAGGGGGCTCATTGTCCTTCTTTCTTTCTCTCACTCCTCGACAGGTTTCCCCCTCTCTCTCTCTCTCTCCCTCTCTCTCTCTCTCTCTCTCTCCCTCTCTCTCTCTCTCTCTCTCTCTCTCTCTCCCTCTCCCCCTCTCTCTCTCTCTCTCCCTCTCTCTCTCTCTCTCTCTCTCTCTCTCTCTCTCTCTCCCTCACTGACTCTCTCTCTCTCCCTCACTGACTCTCTCTCTCTCTCTCTCTCTCTCTCCCTCACCGACTCTCTCCCTCACTGACTCTCTCTCTCTCTCTCTCTCTCTCTCTCTCTCTCTCTCTCTCTCTCCACTCCTCCCTCAGTGGCCGCAGCTCTCATTCACGCTGCTGTAGGAGCGTCTGTTCAGCTGGTGAGGCAGCGGCAGCTCGCTTTGTGCATCCTGTGTTAGCCACCTGTGCCGCTGATGGTGCTGATGGCGCAAACCTTGCGTTACATGGAATAATTTGTACACTGTTACCTTGCTCTTCTCCTATCCGGATTTGCTTCTTCTTCTTTTTTTTTTATTGCATCATTGGGCATCCAAAGTTGTGATGATGCCCCCGCTCAGCATTTGGGATTGGTAATAGCCTTCTGCGCGAGGTTGATATATCATTCGCATGTGATTGAACAACACTTGTCTCTCGGAAGTGGACAAAACATGGACTAATTTTTATTTTTTTATACATTCACCATGGGATTATCACAGCTATTTCTGGTTCTCGGCATATTTTGCGCCTCCTCAGGTAGGACACAGGGCTGTCACTGATTACAGCATGTAGACGATAAGATGAGATACAGATAATTGAATTATGTATTTCTTTAAAGATACTTTGCCACCTAGGCTTCACAAAAATAATCTGACCTGCTTGATCTAGCAGCTTGCACACATTAACCACCACATCTCTTCTCCTGACACCAGCAGGTTGATTTGTCTATATAGCATCACAGGTGTCCTTGCCCTGCTAACAACAATGACACTCTTGTTTTTTGTGTTTGCAAATTAGTTGTAGGCTTTGGGGTCGACCCTGCCCTGCGCATCAGCGTGTTTGATGAACTAACGCTTGAAGAAGGCTTTGATGGAGTTACTCAGGTCCAGGGCTTCCACAGCGAGTCTAGAGCTTTCCACTTCCAAGGTACAGTAACACACACTCCTTGTATTTTTGTTCAGAGATGGAAGATAAACTGTGCCAGATGAGATGTGAATGTATGTGACGCAAAGCTGACCAAAGTGCTTTTGATGAAAGGGGAGTGTTACAAATACTGCTGTCGTTTTCGTATTTTGTTTGAACAACTTGTAAGTCTAACAGGATGAAGCCCATTAAACCACAGATCAGCTCCTCCAGTCATTTGAAAATTTCCGATTATCTGATAATACTGGAGCCCTTATGCTTGTATTTGATTCTTACCGTCTGTAGCACAACTGTGCGGAGACTTGTCAGCAGCAGCATGCGATGGATTTGCAGTTTTCTTAATGGGACTTAAGCTTGGGGGCCCTCAGACTGCCACCTGCCTGAACAATGGGCAATGTTAGGTCTTCATGAAAAAGTGGGGTGAGCCGGGCGAGCTGAGGGGGAGAGATGGGTGAATCACGCAAAGAATCAATGACAGATTTAGCATAATCAGATTAGGCAGGAACAAAACCCCGTGTTCACGGAGATGTATGTTGTGAGTGACTGGGCCCCACGCTAGAATTTACCCATTGGTGATCTTCTGGAGTGTTAAAGCAGTCCGAACACTGACACTCTGTAACCAAAATATGAATGGGTAGAAGAGTGAGACAGATGTCCATGTTGTCAGTTGTGCGGCAGTGTGTGCGTAGGCCAAGTTAATTATGTTATCTATGGCATTTAGTAAATGGCACTATGCAAAATGGAGGTGTCAAAGCTGCGGTCGTACTTGACTTTTATATGCACTGTTTGGCCCAGTGTTACATCTCTGTCATTTTGATGTCAGACTCATTACAATCCAAATGAGACTGTTAACAGCCCCATCACAGGGATGGAGATGTCTATTATAACCCAGCCAAAAGTATCAACAGAGGGAATTGCTTTTGGCTCCCAAGATCAGCGGCAAAACGAAAGACGTGGCAACGTTCAAACCTTCACAAGGAGGATCTCAACATGGATCGCATAATGTACCAAAGTAACAATGTTGTTTTGGGACAGAGACACACCACAATCGTTTGTCGACATTTTTCCTCCCCCCTCCTCGTTCCTGATGTCTTCTAATCTCCGCGCACAGCCGCTGAGACAGCAGCACTTCTGCATGGAGCAGCAAACTCCAGCACCTCTGTGAAGGCAGGCCATTTGATGTCCTCTGTGTAGACAACACTCAGAAGTGCTCTGCACAGGCAGGTAGCGAAAGGGAGGGAGAGACACTACAAGGAAGAATTGGAGAATGAGAGGGAGAGAATGAGATAAACAAAGACAGTTATAGAAAGAAGCTCCCACAGCTTTTGTCACGAAATGAAAAGTCATGACTGGCACCTCGCCATCATTACGCTCTCTTATTTCTCGGGCGTTACCTTTGCTAGTTACCCGGGCGGAGAAGGCGGCGCGTTATTTATGACAGAGCTCGCCTCCATCCTTCATTTGGGACGTCTATGTTAAGTCAACGACGTTGGGTGAGGGGGAGGCAGGGGGGAGGCGGACCGGCAAAGCAGACCTGGGCCTGCTGCTTGTTTGTGATCAGAAATAGACAGGGAGAGGCACATACTGTAAAGATGCAGGAAGAGCGAGGGAGATAGAGAGAGAAGCTGAGATACAAAGAGAATGAAAGGAGAGGAGAAAGGCGGAGCAGAGCTGTCTGCCAGCTGTTTGATAGACTGTGCTGATTCCACATGTATGGATGCTTGGCTGGCTGGGACCAGCAGATAGGCCCTCGGTGACATTCCGACGCTCATTAGATAGCAGGCAGAACACATCCACGGCCGTTCCCTCCGCTGCCTGCCTGCCCGCCCGCCCGAAGGGAAGGCTGTTATCTCTGGGTGCTGGGTGGAGGCAGGAGGAGGGGTAGCTGCTGAGAGCTGAAAGAGAAGAAGCAGGGGGAGAGTGTAATTCCCAGTAAAGGAACGTGTATGTGTGCATGCATGTGGATAAGCAAATGTGGTGTTCACATTGCTATATATCTTTGTAGCTCTGTCTGCCACGGTGTGAGTGTGTTTTGTTTTGTGTCTGGGAAAGAGAAGAGCAGTGTGTGGGGGGGGGGGTTGCTGTTTAGCGCACCCCTGCTGATGCTTTTGTAGGTAGCTGTCAGCACTACATTGCATGGCATTAGGAGAGGTGGACCTCAGGGACGGGCATAGTAGAGAGGGAGAAATGCCCCAGGGCTATGCTCCTTTTCTGTCCTGATGCAAGGTGATGTCTCAGCCACGCCACAAAATCACCACATCATTAGCACTTCCCCCACAGTTTTTAATATCCAGACATCAAGATATCTATCTGTCTCTGTAAAAACAAGCACAGGGGCCACACCCAGGAGCCCTCCCTTCCCCCAACACACATACACCAACACAGTCTGCCTCTCTGGCTACAAGCGTATGGACCAAACTCATTTGAAGTGCAAACAGCCCGATTGCTGGAAGCACCCTTTCAGCTGCAGAGCAGCACTCCCCTGTAATTGTATCTGTGTTTGTGTGTGTGTGAACCCTGTCAGAGGCATGCTCTTGCTCAGACTGTTTGAACACTGCCAGCGAGGTGTTTCTGTGTATGTTGTGGTGATGATGTCCCTGAATGCAGCGACACTGAAGTGTAACAGGATGGAAGAGACTCATTCATAATACAGCAACACTGTGTGTGTGTGTGTGTGAAGGAGGGAGGGAGGAAGACAGAGGGGACTATGTGTGAATTTGAGTTTGTTATCCTGCATTAATGTGAGTGTAACAGATGAACGTGTTTGCATAGGAATGGTAATAGTGTGTTCCCGCTGTAGAGGCTGCAGTTGCTAGTAAACTACACGATACTCTGGAGTATTGTGCTGTATAGAAGGATGTAATCTAATGGGTGGGAGGGCAGCTTAGTCCTGTCGAGGCCAGATTCAAGCGTCTATATCAGAGAGCAGCTCCACTACTGTGTGCTGTTATTGTATTGAGCAGAATCCGAGGGAGCTGTTTTGTAGCGAACTCCACATTCAAAGGAAGGACAAGAAAGCAAAATGAGAATTTACCTACAGGAATCAATAAGGCAATTAACACTGACAAAAGAGGTTAGTGTAACATTCATGCTAAACTTTACGCCCTCTTTATGCGGTAAGGTGCTTTGAATAAGAGCCTCCGCTACCAAATGAATCACAGTGGATCTAGGGTTCCCATGTTAAGTATTTTTTGCCATTTGTGTCATTGCAGTTGGTTGCACGATGCACTTTGAAATGCAATGTAATGTAGAGAAATGTGCTAGTATTGTGTAACTAATTACATAGAGCGAATAAAAACGCTGCCAATGGGGTAAAATGGGCACAAACAGCCTGATTGTTTTTAGCACAACAATCTAGGCCTTTAAACAATTCAAATAATCATGAGCACATGAGTGATTTTGTATCAAACCTCCATAAAATAGGGTGACTTGCAATTAAAAAAAGAGTGGTTGAAGTCATAGCAGCCAAGATATTCTCACTTGATCCAATGACAGCACTAAACGCTGCCCATAATGTAACTCAGTGTTGTTGTTAGACAGTTCCTTCCTGGAGAAGATCACAGCTTTAAGTCTCCTAGACGCCAGTTTGCAACAAAGCTTTTCAGTTAACATTTGTACTCTCCAAACCCAAGCTAAGCCACTTCCTCTCAGACATCTCCCTCCAAAACAACAGGAGTTGTTGACGAGAGAATTGACTTTCACTTGTAGAATTGTTGGAGATTTAGCTACATATATAAGCAAGGATACTCTTGAACATGTCAAGTTAAAGCTGCTTGAAGCTGTTGTCTCTTCAACTCAGCTGAGTTAAGGAATAAGTATCTGAAAACAGAAAGATCTAAAAAAAACAACTGTGATAGGATATTAAACCATTTTCACCTTGATGGCAAAGAGCTTGAAGGACATGTTTCCAAATTTACCTGAAAACAATACTGACATGCCCATTATATGTACATCAATGGACTGTTGGTTGCTGTAGTTGTTCCTCCAGGCTATACTGCAAAGAGATCCCTTCAATATAAATGTAATAGATGAGAACAACGGGATCTACAGTCCTTGCTCTGTGTAAAAATTCATTCCAATTTTTAGTTGAAGCTAACATTTCTGCAGTCTGCATCAGATAAATCTGTTGGGTTTTCCAAAGTTACAGACTTTTTTGTATGAAATTCCCTCTCTGTACCTCCTCAGTCTCCTTGCTGAGCCGCAGCAGAGGGATAGTAACACAAAGGGATGATTTGGTTTAAAAAGACTGTAACTTTTGAAAAGTACCCAACTGATTTGTGTAAAAGACTGAAGAAGTCTCACATTAGTTTCAGCTGAACTTTATTTTGTATTTTTGTGCAGAAGGAGGAATGTGCATTTTCTCCTCTCATCTCTTACATTTGAATGACTTTCATTGCTTTGGGGCTAGTGGTCGATGTTCTTATAGGCACGTAAGTACTGTATTAGGATGGGCTTAAACAGGAGGCTCTAAAGAGTGTGGAGGCTGATTGTTTCAAGAATCTTCGATAATCAGATGGATTTTTTTCTCAGCAACATAATGCAGCAATCTGCTTTATTCTTTCTCCCATTTTCAGAAGATACTTATCAATTTGTATTTGGAACATTTTGAAAGAACTGTACGGTGTGGCACATCTCGAATGCAACTTTTAGGACTCAGTGGAGGGACTCATTTTTGGCAGGTGACACTTGCTTAGTCAACACAACATAATCCAGTCAAAACAGATTTTTTTTATCCCATTTCCTTCCACATATGCTGTCGTTTTTTTGTTGCAGCATATTCTGTTACGTTTCCCAAAAAGTCACCCAACCTTTCCAAACTGTTGACTGACATCATCCCCAACTCCCTGTGGTCAAAGTTGGCTGTGTTTGCTGCTTTCTGAGGCGAGCCTGATCCTCTGTTCCACACAGGAGCACCGGTGACCATGGAGATATTTATTTCCCTCCAGGGCAGTTATACAGTTGGGTGGCTCGAAGGCTGTCATTAGCTCTGTGTACGTGTGAATGTCAGACAGGCGGTCACTGGGGAGGTGATCTGAGAATTGGGGAGAAATTGCTGGCCAAAGCAGTCCTGGAGGTGCCCTTGGCTCGGTTCTGTATTTGTTCCAGGAGAGTGGAGACACAGTGGGGGGAGACGGCCAGCCGAATGCAGATTGACTGAGTGGGGTGGAATATTCAGGAGCTCTAAGAACCAGCTTTCGGGGGAGGGGGGGGGGGGGGCGTATTTGTGTATGCATCCATCCATCATTGTGTTAGCCCATGTTTCTGCATATCTTTGTGCCCGTCTTTTTCTTTTAATTGACTCAATGTTCGAAGCAATAGGCCGGTCAAAATGTCTGCCTCATAGTGTCTGTGTGTGTCTGTCCGTGTGGCCTACTACACCTGTTTGCGTATGTGCGCTGCACGTGTGCTGACAGTAATGAAGGGTTTGGAGTTTGCTGCCGGTGGAGAGTTTATCATTACTCTAATCCCTCTGGAGAGATATCCTCTTGCCTAAACCTCCCACACATATCCTTCTCTGCACTCAGGCCGGCAGATAAAAGGAGTTGTTTGAAATTTGCTCTGTCATTTTTCAAATATAAAACATTAGGTAATAAGAAAATAGAGCACACTTTTTCTCGGTATGTGTTCCTTCCTCTGCTTATTGGATCGCTGTGCTTTTTCAGACCCCTCTTGGCTCTATGTGCTTAGTGCATCTCATGGCTCACTCTTAACTGGTCGAGAGTTGGCTTATTTGCAAAATGTTGTTGAAGAGTTGTTGCAAAGAGGTAGGAGGTGCTATTTTATCCTGGCAATCCACTAGAGACCAAAGAATGAAAGTCTTCATTATTCACATACAGAAGTGTCTGTGATCGTCTAATCTAATTTCAGTATTGCTGTTGTTTCCTAAGGAAAACAATTAGATTAGAATTCAAACATATAATCAACATAAAAATATACTTCGGCCTGTCCTTCAGGGTATTTTCTATTTGTTGGAAAAAAGGTGGAAAATCTGCCGTGTTCCAGTACAAAAACTTTCTGTAAATACAGTTCGAAGTGAAAGCAGTGTGCGAGAAAAGGATTGTGGCAAAGCTAGGTGTATCTGGACTCTCAAGCTGTGCTGCAGGGCACCTGTTCTAAATGCTAAATGTGTGAGCATTGGATTGGTGCAGCGCTGCCAATATACGTCCATGAGAACGCAGTGATGGGAGTGTGAGGGGATTACAGCTGTGTGGGTACGAGGGGTCAAACAAAATAAGATCACATTAGACAGTTTAAGATTAGGAATGAAGCCGAGGGATGGAAATCGTGGCCTGAGTGTAACCATTAAAGCACAATGCACCCAGGAGATAAGATTAGGCTATAGCCGAAAGCTACACTTGCTACGATGCTACTGAGCCTGAGGCTTTTAGAGATCTCCAGTCAGCTGATAAAACTCTGTATGTCTCAAAAACTGTTTTCTCACAATCAGCCGGTCCGCATAGCCTGTAAACAACTAGGATGGATGACAAGAGCCGTGTTATTGTGCTGAAAAATGTGCTGATTGGAATTTTATGTGCTAGATCATAATTTTCAGGCTATTTTGTGTCAGTATCTCACATCAGAGTGGTATTTAGGAGCAGGTGGCCACCCCATCCAGGCGCCTGCCAATAGATAATCGACCAAAGGCCCCCCACAGCAGGACCACATTGATTTGGCAGAAGGGAATGCTGGCCTTCTCCTCACAGCACAAAGTCATACTGCTCTTTCATGAATGTTTTTAGTAAATGCAGAGATGTTGCCGCTATAGCTGTCTTAATCCTCCTTTGAGTGCCTGTCAAGAGCGTTGAGATCATTGTGCTTTTCGTACAGGCAACCCGACACAGACCAATCTCATCACTTCATCTGAATGAGAAGACGTCTCCACCCTCCAATCCCTCCAATCCCCCAAAGTCCCATTTGAAGCAACCTCATTCCCTTCCAGGACTGGTGATGAGAGTTATCCACTCATAGATCAAAGGCTCATGGCCGCCAAGCTGGGAGCAGCCCAGTGGTAGAGGTTCCTCAGTCCTCACCATCCCCCCCCCCCGCCACATCCGAATGGACCCCGCCCTGACACCTGCTCCCACTGTGCTGATTTTGCTCATGATTAAGATGTCAGTGTGCTCTCTGTTTAACACATGGCATGGCAATAGACTGACCAGCTCACATAGTCATTGACGTTGTAAATCCTTTTTGGCTTGAGCTCAGTCTTTGTTTCAAAATCTGGAAAATGACTAACAGCACAGAGCGTTTTTTGTCCAAAAAAGAAAAGAAAAGAAAAAATAATAATAATAATAAAAGACGGCAAACTGTAGCTTTGATTACAATTCATTAATTTGGATCAAAACGCCCCTCCAAACAAGAATGATTTCCTATCATTTCTGAGATTATTGTCAACAGTGGTCATTTGGTGATTAAGTGGGATCTGTTGATGGCAGCAGATTATTGCTGGGCAGAACTCCTGTTGCGGTCATTAGACCATCTGTCCCACCTCAGCCAATGACACTGGAATCATAGTCCACTGGCATTGCATCTATTTCCATCTAATCTAGTGAGTATTTTTGTTTAGTGAGAAATTACTCAAAATATGTCCCTGATCGGGCTTAAAAGCCTTCATCAGGAAAAGGCTAATGCTAGCAAGATAAATTCAGAGTGAAAGTAAAAGAAGCGTATGAAAACATTGTATCCTATATAACCGATGAGTACACTGTGAGTGCCAGTCCTCATCATGACATTGCTGCTTGCTGGTTTTCACATTGCATTGTGTTAATTGGTTACGAACCCACCAGCTGGAAGTAATCTTAATACACTGAGGAAAAGCTGCCACGCTAGCTTCCTGGAGCGCTTAAGTGTGCCAGGGCATCTTGCATTCATCCCGTAGCTGGAAGTGAACTCTTTGATGTGATTGCTTCTGAGAAATGTTATCATTTATTGATGCCTCCATTAAAGTAGTAGACGTCTGTGTAGAGTTGGAGAGGAGGGAGGGGGCACACTGGTGCAAACAGGAGCTTACGAGCTAACGACACAGAAAATGCCCTCCCATCCACACCAGCACCATCAGCCTTTCGCATCCTCTCCCAAAATCCTTAGCTTCATGTCTGTAGTCCTACACCAAGCCAACCAGAAAGAGTTTGATCCACTGATACTATTTTTTGGGATTGCTGATATAAGCGGGTACAATATTTGGTAGCAATAAGTTATCTTAGCAAGTGGATGACTTCAAGTTTTGTTTGAGCTGAATGAACCTGACCTTAAAAGCTTCAAAGTGGCTCACTAGTTTCCTAACCCCTTAATTTGACAAACATCCTCATGATTATTTTAAGAAGTGAGGTTACATGAACCTTTTATCAAAACAGGTTTGAGATCAAAATGGTCAACTAACTTATATAACAGAGTAATGTAATTTTAGCAAGCGGTTTAGTGAGTTTAGTCTTGATTTGTCATTTATGAATTCAAATTCGCCAAGAGTTTATGTGAATACATCAAATATTTACAGCGGATGGCCTGTGAAATCCCAACCAACTGGTCTCTTGTCCTGTACAGCAGATGTCCCTGTTTCCTTGTATCCCTAAAATGTCAGCACCATCTCAATTAGGAACTGGCTCTCAATGGTGTGAATAATAGAAGTCATAGTAATAATAATAGCGATGAAAGGGCCTATACCATTCCACATGGGGAACCTTAAATTGCTCCAGCTGGTTAGGGCAGCACCTTGCATGGTGGCTTGCTACCATCTGTCTGTGAGTGCCTGTGTTTGAATGGCTGAAAGAGAGGCAAATTGTAAAGCGTTTTGGTTAAAAGCGCTATATAAATGCAGCCATTTACATAATATCTGATATTTCTGTCTTCATCCTAGGGTCTGCCAGGCAAGTGATGGCTCCTGCTGAGGTCTCAGAGAAAATGGTCCAGAAGCTGAGAGGCAAGAATGAGTTTACTGTGCTGGCGACCCTCAAACAAGATCACCTCAACTCTGGGGTCATCCTCTCCATTCATCACTCTGAGCACAGGTATGATGAGCTCACATTTTACAGCACAATGTGATTATAATAGGTTCTTTAATACATCGAAAAAGGGTTGCCCGTACTATTCATTCAAAATATCACCACATTTGTTATTTGGATATACTTGCAGAAATATACAGCAAATTTCCAAATTAGTGTTGCATACAATGTGAAAACATGCATATTGTGAAGTTAATTTGAGATGTATAATTTGGCAGTGTGAGACAGAACCGGAGCCCAAAATGTGACACGGAGCGCTGTAAAGCTGCTTACAAAGCCCTGCTGATAAACCGTAATTGAAGTTGTTTTCTAAATTTAGTACCACCCTCTGTTTGTCTTATCAGCAGTCTGTAATATGTTGATTGAAACCTAAATATTTGTATTTGATCAGTATTTCGATGTTTTACACACCAGTCGAGTATAAACACAGCAAATCACCCCGTGTGCCAACTTATTATTCACAGTCCATCAACGATCCAAACATTGAGTCTGGAATTGCGGATCAAAAACTGATGAGACACTATCTGCAGTTAGCATGCTAATGTTTTCCATTAGTTAGTGGTAGCTGAGCCGTTGGATCATCAGAACGGCAATCTGAATCCACATAATGCGTTGATGGAACAGTTTGTACATTAAAGTCAGTCCTGAGAAGAGAGCTCGCCGGGATGTTAATGACTTTCCCCGCTGCTGATTAGCTTTCCCAGCCATTCATATGCAACAAAGCAGCACTGCATGGTTTTATTCGGAAACATGGAAAGGACAAATTCAGAGTGTTAACCATTGCATTCACGGAGCCGGGATTATTGTGCATGCATGGCTGGGGGAGAGTAAATCTATTAGATTTGGCTTGCAGATAAATCAATCCATTGCTACACTTGCATGAGTGTCTATTTCTCTTTTGAATAATGTTTCCAGCAAATGGCTCTAGTTCAAATAAGTCCGTCTTTAAAGGCAGAGGTGATGAGTGTGTATCGGCAGCTCTTTCCATTAGTGTCACTATGCTGGGTGAATCTCAGTGGTGTGGAGAAGGGGATTCTGCTGGAATACTAATACGCCAATGTAAAGAGATGAACCTTTACATGTGGGCCATTGTTGCTTGTAGCTGATGTTGCACTTAACAGCCATATAGTACCATAATGCTTGACTAGTGGTATGATTCAATTCTAAATGGTGCTGCATATCAGAGGAGATGGGAGTGCACTGCTTGGAAACGAGTGACGTGTCAGCACTGTGCTGAGAGGGGCCCCCAATTTAGACACTCCTGCGATGCATGCAGGTGTTTGTGTGAACAGAGAGAGAAGGTTTCAGGTGTAGTTATGAGACTTTAATGCAACTGTACAGTGCAGGGATTGCAAATTCTCAGAGAAACTGAAAGTTGTGTGGCTGTTACTAGAAGCAGGTTGCTTGGATTCTGCAGGTTCCTGGAGCTGGAGAGCAGTGGCCAGCGCAGTGAGGTGCGTCTTCACTACCGTACCAAAGGCCAACAGCCCCACACTGAGGTGTTCCCTTACAGCCTGGCTGACGACCAGTGGCACAAGGTCTCTGTGGCCATCAGTGCCTCTCATGTTATACTACACATCGACTGCAACAGGTAAGATGCTGGGGATGAATTAATATATGTGTTGGATTTGACAATGAAATTAAAATGCTGTAGTTTGGGATAATACTGATGGGAGGCTATCCAGTTGTTTAACTAATTTAAACTGAAACATCAGATATTATTTTTTCAGGGTTTCAAACTATCTCTAGATTAGGGATGCACAGATACAAAATAATTATATTCAAAGTTCAAATGTTTAATTTCCAAATGTCTGGTGAAAATAAATAAAAACAAAGTGGTCGATGGAAACATTTCAGCAGGAAACACTGTGCTGCTATACGGATGAATGATTGAATGATTTCAATGCTGGTCAAACGCACCTTGAGTTGACCCGCATTATACGTGCGTCTGCTGCATGAAAGGAGTGATACTGTTTACGTGTGAAGATCCTCCCTGGCACAAAAATAGGAGCAGACGGCAGCACCGTGTGTATCAAGGAAAGCATGCGGCTATCCATACCGTCCTCAGGGAAAGAGTTAAAAGCAGGATTTAACAGGGCAGGACCTGCAGTGCAGGGGGTTATTGTTGCTCTAAACTGATGAAAATAGGTTAGAAATAAATTTTAAAAAAAGAAATATTGAACATCTTTAACATAGCTCATAACCATTGTGTATTTGTTTTGCAGGATCTATGAGCGGGTCGTGGAAGCCCCGTACATGGACATACCTGAGGATGCTTCCTTCTGGCTCGGACAGAGAAACACTGCCCATGGCTTCTTCAAGGTTAGCAACTTCCATCTCAGAGTATGAATGTTGATGCATGTCCTGATCTGTCATAAATGATGCAGAATGGCAGGGGCGAGTAATCCCCTCCCCCAAACTTGGTTCACACTGTATCTTCTCATTGTTTGACTTGTTTGGTTTTATTCATAGTAGCTGCTGGGTTTAATTGCATGCATTTCTCAAGGCCTACCATTTTAATGTGAGGGTTGTTCTGCACCCTAGGAATTTGTCATTGTTTGTTCCCTTTCCCTTCGTCTGCAGCTAAGCCCAGTGCAATTATCTCAGCCACCCCCACAACACTGATTTGGGAGAAATCATTAAATAGCCTCTGGACTATGCTCATTAAGCTTAGTCTATAGTGTTGTTTATCAGGCAGGGAGACACACACCACCTCTCCCAGACTGGACTGCACTCTGAAATGTCCCACCTGGGGAGACATGTCGGGGCAAAATGTCAGCTTACCTGCAGCTATAACTATTTTAATCAGTCTGCTGACTGGCTCTGCGTTCGATGGTGTGGTGATGTTTATAGGTATGAGTGTGTGGTAATGCTTTTCACATTGTGTCCTGGCTGTTTAGTTTCCGCTGTGTTAATTGGTAGATGAAAGAAGCCTTGGAGGTCACTCACTAATCTTGTCACGTAGCGGCATCTCTCCTCGCCACTCTCTGAAGCCTTGATTAGTTGCGAGGAAGGCACGTCTCCTTTTAAAACACACTGCTTCATTAGTACACACACACTCACACACACAAACAGTCGATGGCCGTACGTGGGTGTCAGCCGAAGACGAGAAAACCACATCTTCAACAGTAATAGTAAATACTTTAATCAGAATGAGCATATCTGCACCTCTGCTTCACAGCTCAATAAATATCTATTTACAGTTCACGCACATCGTAAGAGAGCTAAATCTATTTTATCTGTGCCGTTTGTCGTGGATTTGTATGCAGATGTAGCAAATTGTTCTACATTCTAACTTGGAAGGCTGAAAACTATTTCCTTTTAATTCAGGCAATCCCAAATGCAACGAGAAACAGCAGGAGTGTTCCTCAGATTTGATGTCATCGTCAGATTTCCTTTTGGAGCTGTGCTGTTAGTCTGACAGGGTATATTTTCTCATGATTGTTTACACTTTGAAGGAATTGTATCTTAGTGCAACAGAAGTGATTCAGCTCTCACTCTGCCACTAGTTGTTTTTCACAAATTCACATTTCCGGTACAGATGGGAGAACCATGGATGTCCCTCATGTTACTGCAGTAAACGGAGTGTCGCCGACACAGAGGAATCACTCTGGAGAGTTCACAATGTCTCACTTTTTTCAGTCGCCAGAAGGTGCAAAGCAAAGTCTAGCAACTGGTTGTTTTTATAGTGGTGCATTACAACACAGGAGGTCATTGGGTTTTTTATTGCAATTATCTGATGTTATCAACCAAAAATATTTCTCTTTTCTTTTTGTAAAATGACGGATTCATCCTAAACTCAGGGGCGTAAACATATATTTATCCAATCAAATGTGATCTGCGGCAACAATGCCTATCACATACTGTAAATCCGCATTTGACCATTAGCTCGTAGATTATAGGATATCATAAGAAGTGGGTTTTTGGACGTCAGATGGACAAAAGTTTGTTTAGGAAAAATGTATCTGAGATCTAATTCATTATTTAGATTATTGACAGCTCCTTATCTCTGTCACTTTTAAGTGATCCAAGATTTTTAGGACGCTCCAACTGCCGTTTGGCTGTGAAACTACCTGTCCAGAAACAAAAGGTAGTAACAGCGTAGTAGTCTTAAGGTTTCATTACAAGTTTGACAGACACAACTCCAATCTGCTTCGATTTCAGCACGTTGCCATAAAAAAATCAGCAAATCATTTCTGTAGGATTTTTAATTTATAGCTGGTAAATTGAAGTGGCAAGACAATTTAAAAAAACTATTTCTCCTAAGTTGCACGGCTCCACTTCTGTAAGAGAAATAAATCCACTCAAGGAACAAACCGGCCCAGGTTTCCATGGCGACAGAGTATCCGTGTGCATATGTGTATAAGTGTGTGTGTGTGTGTGTTTCGGCCACAGGACGAAAGGCTATCAATTGAGTGTTATGAATCAAATTAAATCTGTATCTCCTGTTTATGCTTCTCAGAGGAGAGTGGAGGAAAAAACTAGGAAAACTCCCACATCGTCCGCTCACTTAACTTCCTGCTGTTGTCCGGTTATGAGATGATTCATCCGAGCGACAACCGTGGAAACACATTATCTCACAACTAACTTCTCTGTCTCCCACTCCCCAGAAAAATACATTTGCACTCACTTTCGGATTTAAAGCTGTTTCACTGTGTTCTGTTTTATGATTGCGGCAGTTACCAAGGCTCCCATATCATCTTATCTGGAAAATGTACCACACTTCGACACCACTGGCCTTACCCACCGACTACACATTAACATGCTTCATTTTATTTGTATCGCCTGCCTGCCTTATAAGTCGTCGTTCCCCTTGGTTGAAATGTTTGTTGTGTGTCTGTGTTTGCAGGGAGTGATGCAGGATGTGCAGATCCTGGTGATGCCACAGGGTTACATCGCACAGTGTCCAGATCTGAACAGAAGTGAGTGCAGCTTCTTCCTGAACACATTAAAGAGACATTTCATCGAGTGTTTAATTTAATTTAAATGACTTCTGGCAAGGCACTTGATTGCACTGATTTTCTTTTTTATGTTAATTCTTGAAAGGTTATACTCACAGGAGTAAAACTGCTTTAAACCAGCTCAGCAATTGAGAAACCGTTTTCCCCTTGTTAATACTTTGGTTCCATTAGGAAAAGGGAGAATTCCCACAGTCTCTCCTGAGAAAGTGTGAAATGCTTCGTTGTGTCCACAAGTTGAAGTTTGTCTGTATGAGGAACCCATCCCACTCATTTCATAAATTTAAATAATTTTCAATAAGTATATTAATTCATCAAAACCTTAGTTCAGCATAACTTTTAGCATCGATGTGGTTATATTTGATACACTGCAATTATCAAAGACTGTCTCCTAGTGCAGTGACACCCTTTTTCTCGGATGTTATGATGATGCATCTTTGCAGTGGCACTATCTTCTTTGCCTATCTCACCATGATGGCTGTTGCAGCTCATGCTAACTTGTATCACAATTTATTAAAAGTTTTACGTGCACACTTTTTTCAGTCATTAAAACTGTGTACTAAATAACAGTGTGCCGTACTGTCTCTTGTATCTCAGCATGCCCAACCTGCAATGATTTCCACGGACTTGTGCAGAAAATCATGGAGCTGCAGGATATCCTTGCTAAAACATCCAGCAAGGTAATGTAATGTGACTGAATTTGACATTTAGCCCAGAAATGTAGTATTATCTTAAGAAAATTACAGTAATTGCCATTTTCAATAAACTGTTACAATTACAAATTGTGCTATAGCATGAAATATCCACTTGGCAATGTGCTTCCGACATTAGCATTGATTGCAACAGGTGACATCTTAACATTAGACATTGGCTATTGTTGAAGTCTTTTCTGTTCTGATGCAGAAACTGTGTGTCAATGGGGTTAATGGTGTCTAATGACTTACTTTTGTGATGCCATTGGTTTGCCTTTGAAGCCCTGCTTTCTACATGTGAATACAGAGACACCACGAGGCTGACTCATCTTCTCTCCTTCTTGCCTTTTGTTTTTTTGGGGGGGATGGCGTGAGCAGCTGTCCAGGGCGGAGGAGAAGATGAATGGCCTGGATGGCTGCTATTGTGAGAGAACCTGCAGCGTCAAGGGGGTCGTCTACAGGGAGGACGAGGGCTGGACAGATGGCTGCAGGAACTGCACATGCACGGTGTGTGCGTGTGTGTGTGTGTTGATGTGTGTGTACACATGATACATGGGTGTCTATGTTAGAGTAATAAAGAGCAAGCGAGGGCATGCAATTTGAATTAAGTTTGTGTGTGTGTGTGTACAAACATACTGAATCTGGAATGATGTGCCTGTCATACTTTATGTGATTGTGTGGCTGTTGCATGCCTACATACATGTTTACAGGCATGTGAGCGCGTCATAAAATATATAAATATGTGTGTTTGTCTGTGCGTGTGTGTGTCTTCTGTGCCTGAGAGAAAGGGAGAACATGCATTTTTCATCATGTCTGCAACACTGTGTTGTTTTGTGTTGCGTGTGCACGCATCCATTTTTATGTGTGTATTTCAGTATCTACAGTTTCGTGTTCATCGCTCCCATTGTAGGTCTTGGCTTTTGTTTCGCTCTCCTGTTCATCAAGTGTATGAAGGTGGGGGTGTGTGTGTGGGTGTGTTTTGGTAGTGTCGAGGTGCAGAGTGCAGGGGCCCCATTGTCGACGGCTTGTATTCTCATTATTTCCTTGCATTAGAGGCGGGTTGCCCCAGTTACCCGAGAAAAGATACTGTATTGAAAACCTCCACAGTAGTCGGGATTAGACACATCAACAACAGTGCTTAGTAATGCTCAGCTCTCTCAAGGGTCTACTTTGTGTTACATAAAGTGTGAATAATTGCCAAAAAGAGAATTAGGAGCGATTGGAGATCTGGGGCTTGTACCACATTAGCGAACAGATTTCACTCCCTGTCAGTCTACTCAGCTTTGGAACATGAAACTCATTCACTGCTATTGAACTCCTCCAACGAGCCAATGAGGTGCCTTCGCGCACCACTACCCAACATGCAAAAAAATGGGAAATCACATATCTCTCAGTGCACCGCACCTAATTGCTCTTGACAGATGATAATTATCATCAGGGATTTGTTCTGCCCACTCATCCAATGAAATTGCTTCATTCGCCAGGAACGTTGTGCTGCCATTCCTGGGCTGCAATTAAGGAATTAGATCGGATATGTTCCTTACCTTATGTGTGGCAATTAGCTGTGACTTTTAAAATTCAAAGGTCATGCATTAAGATGTTATCAATTATGTGGATCAGGTTTGTAGATGTTGCTGTCGCAGAGCTTCCATCCGTGGAAGCAATGCTAATTAAAGGCACGACCGAGGGAAAAGGAGATAGCATTGGAATATATTAGATTTACAGGTTGCTGTGGAAATCTACTGTAGCTTTACAACACTGTTTTAAAGAGTAGGCATACCCTTGATTTCCCCTCCAGCATATTTACGAAATGCAACAGAGTGGGGGATGACTAGGGGGTCTGGTCACAGCATTTATTATGCTGAAATTTAAATTTTGAGGAAAAAAAGAAAATTATTTGCAGTTTGGCATTTTTGTTTAGAAATGGTGTCTCGTTGACACTGTGTGTACCTCGACTTTTCAACTGTAAAATGTCTAAGTTAATCTGTACATAACATGATCACCATACTGTAATTACTACCTTTAAGGATCCCTACAATTGAAAATATGTACGTCTGTGAAAAAGACAATATCAGTAGAAGTATCATCAGATTTCATTCCTTGATATTGATATTTGCCTGCACATTATCAGTTGGCCTATTTAAACTCTTTAAACAATGTGTTGTCTTTCTCTCTTTCTCACCAGAACGGCACAGTGCAATGCGAGGCCATCTCCTGCCCTCCCTCTCAGTGCCCAGCGGGCACAGCGCCTGCCTACATAAAGGGTGCCTGCTGCAAGGAGTGCCAGCGTGAGTGGAGTACCCTTAACCTCATCACCCTCCTACACTCGTACAATCACGCACACATACAACGGCAAAACAACCACCACCAGATTCAGAGCGCACATCACGCCTCCACAAGGGCTGCCTGACAATTGACCAGGGCTCTGCTGTGTTGCTAAGCTACCTCCTAACATGCCTCTTGAGATGAGTCCATCCTTTTGAATATACATGGACCCAATCAATTATTCACTAGCTGGCTTCAAAACACAGATGGCCACCAGTCACACAGACATGAGCCAGTAGATCTGGGATCACCGCATGTGATGTAAAGTAGTTCCTATTTATGGCAGACATGTTGAGGTTTTGAGAAAAGTGAAGATGACAGAAATGTTAAATGCCTGAAATGACGCACACTGTTACTGGCAATAGTGTCCTCTTAAATGTCCGCTTTCTAACATTTGAGCTCTGATATGTTCTTGCTGGATAAATAATTCTGTTTCATCACATATCTACATGGAGGGTCTGTTTTTACTCACACAAGATTCAGCAATGAACTCTTATTAGCCTCCTCACCGCGGCACTCTGCATCTCATATTCTCTCAATAAAAAAAGGGATTTCAGAGGATATTAGCTTTTCTCACCCCATCATTCTTCTGGTACTAACCCAAATGAAACTTAAGTAAATGTGATGTATTAGCTTTTAAAAGGTGGAAAGACCTGTCTGTCAATGTATAGAACAAAGGAATGAATTAGCATAGTTCAATATTAAGAAGATTATTCTCCACTATGAATTATAGAAGGCTACAGACCATATGAATGATACTTTATGTTTGTATAATATTTCGTTGTAGATCTCACTCCACAGCTTGAGCAAGCTGACTTCACTTGAGAACTTTCTCACCACACACTCCCACACGCTGCTGCCGTCGCTCTCCTGCTTCTCTTGCAAAGCAAGTAACAGACAAGACTCAAGTCTTTATCAGCAAGAAACCGTTCGTCTTGGATTCTAATCAGCTTGCGTCAGCATCATTTCCACTGACCCATGGGTCATGGCTACAACACAGGGGTTTTAAAGTAGGAATCCGAATCTGCTGCTGTGTTACACAAATGTAAACACGTAGCTGGTAATCCCCTTAAAGTCAACACCCCTGTGCTCACTTATCTCAACGAGGTAGACAAACACACAGCTAATTAAGCATGCTCCGGCTTTGGAGAGAAGAGTGCCGCAAGTTTCCCGGCTACAAAGACATGATTGGCTCTCCAAATTAAAGCCTTATCTGGCAGCACAAGGTTTTGCAGGGAGGAGTTCTGAGTCTGTTTTTTTTTTTTTTGATAGTCTGTCAAGTAGAACGTCAAAATGGCTGTTTCAGAAGTCCTTCGCTTTCATGATACACTGCCTTGTGAGAGGGCCCGACCTGCGGTGTCAATCATTTCTCTTCCTCATATCAGTCTGAATCTGTCTGACCTCAGCTCTTCATCAAATGCGGACTTTCTGCCCATGTGATTATTTTCGCGCCCCTCCTGCCCCAGAATAAAATGAAACGGATTCTCCTCAGCGCCGCAGTGAGGGGCGCCTTCTCTCTCTTCATGTTAATTATTTCATCGTGCTTAATTGGGTTTGATACGCTTGATTTGGTTTGACTCAATTTACCCAAGGAGTTAAACAAAGCTGTAAATAACAAGGACAGATTGTATCATACATGTAAAACAGCTCTGTTAGATAAGATTCCTGGTGTTCCGCCAGTGTTCATGTCCACAACCAAGTGTAGGAGTGTAGATTTATGTATAAATATGAATTTATTTGGGTGGATAGCGGGATGAAAATGTATGCAATGAGAATCTGTTATTAGATAGCTTGAGAAAATATGAAATGAGAATTTATTATGAGTAGATTAACTAGGTAGATTAACTAGGTTGCCTCTTGGTGACTTTCTCGCCAGATTTAGTGAATTTTGCTACTCGCTACTTTCATTGTAAAAGATTTGCCAACACTGCACAGAGTTTTTAGTTGGACAGTTTTTAAAGTGTTGCTAGTTTCTCAAGATAACCAAACCTAAACTCTAAACTGAGGATTTCTTCAACAACAGATTGAGCTCACAAAATAAATCAAAATCAAAAACATCTTACAGCAATGTCCATTTTAAAATGCATTCAGTCACAGATATCTTTAGAGGGGCTATTTCATGCATTGCATTCACATGTGTTAGTAGGAAAGAAAAATATGGCTTTTATGTTGAATATGATATTAATGAAATGTGTTTTTAGGAGAGTAATGCGGTTTTATGTGTAAGTTCATTTTTGACATGTTTATTTGTGATTACGCTGATGATGTCTCTGTGTCTCCTACCAGCTGTCTGCTTGTTTGGTGGAAGAGAGCTCGTGGAGGGGGATCAGAAGGCTGTGCGGGACTCCTCTGGCAGGTGCCTGCTGTTTGAATGCAGGGTAAGTCATGTCAACACACACACGCACACACACACAGACACACAGACACTTAATAAAACACATACACACTTTCACATGCTTATTCAAAATTATTTGATCAATCCTCTTCAGGAAGAGACACCATAATAACTCATGTAACCAAGCACTTCAACTCTAATAATTTCCACGTAGCGCTGCATGACAGCTCACTAAATACTCATTCCACAGCTACCTTGGCGAGGCCTGAGAACATAAATCAAACCTCAATGAGCCAGAATGCAAGATTGTCCACTAAATTGAACTGGCCTGTCAGTGTTTTCTTTGTAATGTAAAGAAATTGACCAAATCCCTCTAATTTAGTCTACATTTGTATAGGCCAGAGCAGTGCACCTGTCAATCATAGGATGCCACCGCCATTCTTCAGTACCAATCATCAGACACCACAGTGGTCCCAAACGATATTCATTTCCCAATTATTCCAACTTATTTGCTTTTGTATGCCTGACGCACCAGATGGGTGGGTCGCTCGCTTTAGGGAGTAATTCACTTGATGCCATTATGCCTGGCATGCCCAATCAATCACAGAAAAGTGATTTGAAGTTTTTAATCACCCAACTCTATTGTATCAACCAACCCCTCCATGAATTCTGCAAAGCCCCATCAGAATCTGCAGTTTCAGACAGCTGTCTGGCTTGCTGGCCCACACCTGGCCCATCTGTAGTCCCAGTTAACTGACTGCAGTCCCAGGCAGATCAAAGAAATGGGGACGGGGTGTGCTGTCAATCAGCCCACTGTTGCAGACTCCTGCAGGCTTCCCCTGACAGCTGCTTGTCAAGCCTCTGATCTTCAGTCTGCCTGCTGGCTGCAGGGGGTGGGTGCAAGTTTTGGGTAGTGGGTGGCAAGAAGTATACAGTACAGCTTGTTTGGAAAGTTGTTTGGGGACTTTTAGGGGAGGTTCTTTTCAGAATTTCAAGCAAGCACACTCTGTGTACGGTATGCACAAGTGGAGGTCATGACCCTTGTACATAACTGTGGACAGATCCGTAAGTAAAATATTTGCCCACTACAAATAGCTAGAAAAAGCATTCTTTGTCCAACTGTGTGTCGTGTTAATGACTCTAAATTAGCATCAGTCAGAGGGACACGGATGAGATCATTAGAGAGGCCTGCCAAAGGCATGCTGGGAAAAGGAACCCCCAATCAGGTTTTATACTCTGAATAAACACACATGCAGGGATAATCCACAAGATTGATTCAATGTTTGTATAATAAAGATGCATCCTGAATCCTGATGTGAAACATTGAGGATGACAGGAGAAGAGAAGAAGACCGCTATTATTTCCCTTCAGACGTAGTCTGGGAAAAAAATTGCTATTGACCAACGAGTAATTGGTTTGTAATGAACACACGGGGGGGATGAACATAGATGAATAATTACCTTCATAATTACATCCAGGTCCTTAGCAAAGGAACGAGGGGCAGAGTGGACCTAAGAAGTAGCTCACGAGGATTGTTTTCTCTGCTCATCACAGGACAGGAGCATGCGTCGCGTGGTCCCCAGTGAGCCGTGTCCCGAACTCAACTGTGCTGAGTCGGAGCAGATCACCTTGAATGACAGATGCTGCAAAGTCTGCAGAGGTATGGAGGAAACCTTCTCCTATTCCACATTGCTTCTATGCCGCACAACATTCATTTCATATGGTGGAACATGAGTATTTCAAGTTGTTATTTTCCCATTTTTACAACAGTTTTGGAATTTACCAGCTAAAAAATGCAACAATACAAAGACTATAAAACGAGCTATTATAGGTTTATTTCCCTTAAGATCATGAAGTCAGATGTAACAGATGGAAATATAGCAAATTAGCGTAATTTTGCCCTATTATGACTTGGAAAGAAGCCACAGTATGGACTCTCAGAGAAAAGGTTGTGATACTATGACATAACCTTTCCACTGGCCCTGTATGCCTCCATCACTCCTCTCGTCTGCTCTCCTCTGGGTCTCAACCTTTTCCTCTGCGGGTCTCCCTGCAGGTCATGACTTCTGCTCAGAGGGCCACGGCTGCGTGGAGCACTCCGACTGTGTGAACCTGGAGGCGGGAGACTGCTGTGTTTGTAAGGATGGCTTCCGCCCGCTGCGAGACGATAATGCCTACTGTGAAGGTATGACATGGCTTTGAATAACAACCTCTGACTTTTAGCAGAAGTTTATTTGCCTTCCGAGAGTGGTTACAAGGTTGTTTTTTTGTGATTGTGCCTGGGCTGCATCAAAGGGGTCATGAGAGGAACCTGCTCATTGCTTTTTGGGAGGACATTGATTTTTTTTTTTTTTCAGTTTTATTTTATACACAGAAGAATTTACAGTTGTAATGTCACTCCGACTGCTCGGTCAAATCATAGCAGAAGTTATCTCAAGACACTTTTCATATAGAGCAGGTCTAGACCGTACTCTTTTTTTACAGGAACACAACATTCACTCACGAGCAAGGACCGGGCAAGAACAACAGCCCCCTTTAACAGAGAGAAAACATGGACACAACCAGGCTGTGGGTGGGCGGCCATCTGCTTCAACCGGTTGGGTTGAGAGAGAGAGAGAGAGAGAGAGAGAGAGAGAGAGAGAGAGAGAGAGAGAGAGATAAACAAATCAGAGGGCACACATTTCTCCATCACAAAATGATTACAGACAAATAAAAATACATGTTTTTCATAGAAATAACATGGTGGATAGTCAGAGTGTGGGGGTCAGGGAAGTGAATATACGACGACCTTAAACTCTTTATATGTTTGCGTGATTGCACAGACTTTCTTTCCTTTAGACGTGCCTGTATAACCACCAACAACACCTTGCCCTAACCTTAACATTTAGTACAACTGTTGTGTTTCTTTTATTCCCGCCAGGGTTATCTCAAAGTACGAGATGTGACAGCTTATTTTACACCTTTCAAAAGTGTTTTCTGCTATTCATTTTGGAACATTATAAAAGCTGCTTCCACAGACTTGTTTCAGGCCCAAGGTGGATAATCCAGCACAGTAAATATTTATTTGTTCATGCTGACCTGACACCGGAAAGAATTCCCTCAAAAAAGAAACTTTAGCACCATGTTTTTATATTTGAGTTGCTTTTGTTAGTTTGATTGAGTTCTAACTGAAAAAAAAAAAATATATATATATATACAGTATATATAAATATATACACATTGAATTGCAAAAGAATGTAGCCATTTGCTAAATACCCATGTAAACACTTTGTTGAATTCATGCTTTTATCACTTAATCCTTTTGTGATGGGAGACTGTAATCCCCTGATTATATTTGCATCCACAACACGCAATAACTGCTTTTCGTAATGCTTTTTCTTTGAGAAACTAATGTTTGTCTTCTCAGTCAGTTGATCAATTTGTGATATAAAAACATGCTCAAGGGCTTTATGTATGCATGCATAGTGTCACTCTGCTGGGGGAGTGATTATAGTCATGCCATCGACCATCAGTGAGGTCATTCATTACTGACTGGACACCAAGGCTCAGATGTCACCACGTTGCACTTTTCTACGTAAAACGCAATGCGATTGATTATGTCAGCACTGCTCTCTTTTAAAAACAGCCAACGTTTTACTTGATTGGCTGCTGAATGTTCCACATTAAAAGCATGCTCTATACCTCATTGAACAGGCCATCTCATGTTGATGGTGAAGCTATAAAAAACCTGCACAAGAGTTCAAACATTCACTCACTGCTCCGGCTGAATTCCTCTTCTCACATCTTGACTGAATTCTACCAGATGCATCGTTAAAAAGTGATGACTTTATCATCTCCAACGCTATCCTGCAGTAAAATATGAAGTAAACATCATGTCATAACTGCACCTCAGGTATTAATGAGCAGAGATGGCATCAAACTTGTTTAGAATCTTCTGCGTATGACAGCTGCCGTGTCAATATATAGTCTTTCTTGATCTTCCCTCTGCATTGTGTGTGCGCAGTTTCAGAGGATCTGTGAGTACATGCCTCTGCCTTTTTTTTTTTATCTACAGTCGACACACCCCCTGTAATATCTGTTATGTCACCTTCATCAAGATGAGGCTTAACTGTCAATTAGCACCTGTATCCAGGATGCTAAATTAAAGAGTAGTAGTTCACAGCTTCTGCAGATCAAACATTAATTTACAGATATGAGCAGTTGTCCAGGTATTAGACAGTCTCAGGGAGTCTGCATGATTGAAGATATGTTTTGAATTAATGGGAAATTGTGTTGTTGGTCGTAGGCTTTGTTCAAATGGCAAATAATGCCATCCACCATACACGTGTTAAACTATGATCTCTTTGAAAAGAGTCAGACGGTGGTGGAAAGTAATTAACATTTACTCAAGGTCGGTGCTTAAGTACAACTCTGAGGCACTTGTAGCTTTTATTTCTATTTCACATTAATTAAATGTACTATGTATAGTATACAGTACACCACTGCATTCCAGATACTCAGATGTCATTTTTTTCTACTAATTACTTTGCAGATTAAGATTTTACATAAACACATTTATAAGACCTAATGTATTTGTAAGGATTTATAAAACTCTTTATAAAAGTTAATAATCATGCACGTTGACTTATAAAATGTTTTGTAAAGTATTATAAATGGTAATTATAATATTTTAGTTTAGAATTGTTAAGGTTGATAATTTCATGTCAGCATTTTCCATTCCTCTATTTAGGGTAAGAGTGTCTCAGGAAGGGTATTGCATTGTCCTAATATTGTGCTGAAAGACTGGACACATGGTGAATGCAGCTGATCATATACACATTGACACAAAGAGATGTGCCAATTTAGTACAGTATATCTATACTTGTCTGTTGAACATGTTTCCACAGTTAGAACAGTGCACATTATCTAATCCCAACTCTATTAAGCATTGGCATGACATGGATTTAAAACTGCATCTATACTGATACCTATTTATAATTCAAGTAAATTCTGCAGTGTTATATGAAACATGCCAAAGACTGAAGTAGACACATTGCACTAAAGTACATATCTCGACCCTCAAAACTTGTGTTTAATATTAATCTAATTATATAAGCAATATAACGGTCTTACTCTAAACACAGTTTCTTGTTTCCTTCACAATATAGTTGGGCTCTACAGAAATGTAATAAGGTATTGAGGAAAATAATAATTTGTAAAAAAAAAAAGTATTCTTATTCAGAAAATACATTGCAATGATATTGACCTGAAAATCTGCCAAATGTCTGTTAAATATCCCTGAGTATTAAAACTTACTTCAACACTACATGGGAGCTTAAAGTATCGTTGGGTTGCCGGTAGCCCTGACTCTCCCCAGGGAGAGGATGTAATGAAAGAGAGATGATTTCCAGGGAAGGCACTTTCCCCGTTTTGAGCGACAGCAGTCTATTATTGTATGATAACCACTAATAAGCTGCCAGTCAGCAAGGTCTATCATATCAATGCATAATCGAGGAATTTAAAAATCCTCTAGAATTTGCCCACCCAGATGGTACCGTTATTGAGACCAATGCGCTATAATGACAATCAATCTGGGGCCACCCTGCATGAATACTAGCTTTTGATACTCGAAGAACATTTTGCTGATTAATACTTCTACAATTTTGAATGCAGGTATCTTTTTTGTAATGTAGTTTAGTTTTTTACCTTGCAGTGTTGCTGCTTTTACTTTAAAGCTGCACTAATCAATACTTTTATATTAACAATGGATCAAGTGTGTAATGTGAAAGGTGTCGAATCATCCATTTAATTTAAGTGAGAGAAAGATGAGACATGACGATAAATATCTGACTCTTAATTGGTTTTAAATCATAGCTACATTTTTGTTCCACTCATACATTGACGTTGTTTTGCCAAGAAATGATCCTGAAAACAATAAGAAAATATTCCAATAGTATTTTTTGCAGCTCGTTGCTTTTTTTTTATCAATGTTATCACATGTGCAATATCCAAGGATATTTAAGTGGTTCATTGTGGTGGAAATAAGCAACCCATCCCATTACCTGTGTGAAACTAAGTACACTGAAAAAAAAAAAAATAAGTGACATTTACTTGAAAAAAGCTAGGTAACAATTTGCACTCAGAAATTCCGAGTAATTTTTACTCAGGAATTCTCAAGTTAAGTTTACTTACTAGTAAGAATTGTTTTTTGTCCAAAATTTTCAAGTAACTTACTTGCAAATGTTTTCCTTAGACATAAAATGTACTTAGGCTTTGATAGTAATCTTTACTCAGGCTACCTTTGCATCTAATTACAAAACCCCAGTAAAACTCAATTAGGTGTTTCATGTATATTTAACTAGCTTTTCTTTACTTTTTCAATTGAGAAATATTAAGTAATATTTACACAATATATCTTTTATCTACTACTACTACTCTACACAACTGTTCAAATATGAATGTTGCATTTTTTTTTTAAACTGGGCTACTGTTAATTTAATAAAATTGTCATAACATAAGGCTTCTACAAAACTTCTTTTAAACTACAGCAGCTTTACTTGTTAACTGGTGAAAGAGGTCACAGAGGTCACTGCTGACAGACACACAAATACCAACATATACTGTATAATCTGGTTGGCATTGCCAGACAAAACATTTCTAAATCAGTGCTGCCAATAAGAAATTTAAGAACACAAACATTTAGTCATTTAACAAACACTTTTAATTTGAAACGATGGGTGTTGCTTGACAACACTTAGATACACATAGATGAAGCCCATGAGCAGAAGGCAAGCCTTTGCCACACTTTGACAGTCATCAAGAACCTCTTTTCCCTCTGACGACGAACCCGATTGTCAGGAGTGAAGCCTTTCTGTGTTGCATTTCCATGGATGACAAGGATCTTCACGACATGTTGAGCATAGTCCTCTTCAATGACTTCTTTGAAATTCAAATTTACTAATGTTCACTTTTACATCTTCGAGTCTGATGTGTTCTCAAAAAATGACGATAGTGGGGGAAACAAAGAAAAATATCGAATGTGTTCAAATGCGTCATTATGCATCAATTCTCAGTGTATATGAGCCCAACATAATTTTATATAATATTAGATATCTAAACTTTACCAGGCTGGGTGATTCCAGCATGGGTCTTGCAACTCCGCCCTTTGTCCCAAGTATCTCCAGAAAGTTGGTAGTGCAATTGTCC